CGCCGTATGAACCAAAACTCCCTCCAAACCCCTCCCGATTGCTGTATTTCCCTATCAGGGGCTTCGCCCCTGAACCCCCTCCTGATTGCCGTATTTTCCTATCGGGGGCTTTGCCTCCGGACCCCCTCCCAATTACTGTATTTCCCTATCGGGGGCTTCGCCTCCGGACCCCCTCCCGATTGCCGTATTTCCCTATCGTGGGCTTTGCCTCTGAACCCCCTCCCGATTGCCGTATTTCCCTATCGGGGGCTTCGCCTCTGGACCCCCACCCGATTGCCGTATTTCCCTATCGGGGGCTTCGCCTCCAGACCCCCTCCCGATTGCCGTATTTCCCTATCGGTGGCTGTGCCCCCGGAACCCCTCCCAATTGCCGTATTTCCCGATGCAGGCAAATACTAAGTAGGAGTATTTAACTCTGGCTTTACTTTCTTATCCTGTGTACGCTTCAAAGCTGCAGCAACAGTCCTTGAATCTTTGACATAAAACTGTGCGAAAATGCTCTCTTGAAATTTGGCGTGTCCTCGCAAGCCACGGCAAACTGTTCCAACTTTGAAGGAATCCATAATCGATGATCGACCCATAGCCAACAATGAACAACACAAAAGTAGCGCCAAAGTTTGTATGCGCGAGTGTGTGATTATGCGCAAATAGTGCGCATGTATGCCTGCCAGACGAATAGCCAAACTGTTATAAAATCCAGTGCCGGAACAATATCCACGGCGATATTTATAGCATTACAAAAGAAGGAAAAAATTCCAGAAAACTGAAAATGTAAATCAGCAGAGGACACAGAGGCCTACTAATTGACTCCTTGGTGGCTGAGCACCTGTGGAACAATCTATGTGCTACCCATTTCACAAAAGAAAATGAGGTACATTTTTACCATAGCACCGCACCCGTCAGAGACTAAGTCCCTGACTCCAACCAACAATCTTGGGGAATCCTGTGAGGAATCGAGGTTGGGGGGGTAAATATGGAGAAGATCGCAAACAAGCGATAATAAAAAAATAAAGTGAAGTGCAAAAATTAAAAACCCAAGCCAAGAATTGTAATTTAAATGATAAAGAAAGTGGAAAAATTAAAAACCTGAGGCAAAAATCATAATTCAAATAATAAAGAAAGTGGAAAAATTAAAAACCTGAGCCAAGAATCGTAATTCAAATGATATAGTAAGTGGGAAATTGAAAAACCCGAGACAAGAATCAATATTTAGATAACTAAAGAAAGCGAAATTCTAAAGACCCTAGCTAAGAATTACATGATTTACAACAATGATTACCAGAAAAAATCCCTTGCCGATTGCCGTGCTTCCCTAGCCAATCTCCATGCTTCCCTAGCCAATTACCGTGTTTCCCAAGCCATTGGCCATACTTATCTAGGTGGGGGCTGTTAATACTGAAAACCTTCATAATCTGGGGGCTATGCCCCTGGACCCCCTCCCGGTTACCATGCTTCCCTAGCTGATTGCCGTGCTTCCCTAGCCGATGGCTGTGCTTACCTACCTGATCGCCGTGCTTCCCTACCTGATCACCATGCTTCCCTAGCCGATCGACGTGCTTCCCTACCTGATTGACGTGCTTCCTTAGCTGATTGCCGTACTTCTGTAGCTGATTGCCGTGCTTCCCTAGCAGATCGTCGTGCTTCCCCAGCCGATCATTGTGCTTCCCCAGCCAGTCACCGTGATTCAGCATCAGGGTTCTCTTGCTTCGAACTCCTTCTCGAACTCAATTTTTACCATTATACATTTTATATACCTTAGTGTGGCGGGTACAGGCGAGCTACGGGAAGGAGGAATTTGTATAGATGCTTGTTGGTCTTAGGGATGTTCATCTGAAACATCGCCCAAGCAAAATAGTCCACGAAGTGGTATTTCTACCTGCCGTAGTGGGGAACTTTCGCTTTTGCTTCTCTCCACCTCCTTTCAATAGTGTTCATGTGAGTGGTAGGGATAGGATCCACAAAATTAATTGAGTGATTCACTGAGTTGTTTAAATCCCTCGTGTTAAAGGCATTTATATGCCTTCCAACACTCAGTTATTGAGGTTGTTCCTGGCTCAATTTTTTCTTTGATGATACTGAGGAGTGTTTTTGTGTCTCTGGAAGCTACCAGGACAGGGAAAATTGTCTTGTTTGACAGCAAACCCTGCCAAACACTGCCCTACGATAACACACCCAATGTTATACTTCCTTTTCCCAAATTTACTTTCATCAATTTCAAAAATTTTGTCTGGACCACCAATCTTTTGTGAAGTATTATTTAAACACCAGGAGATACACACTTCTTCGGCAAAATCTCGACCAGTCACGTATAGTTTTTTTGAGAGTCCTTGTTCATCTCGTATATGTTCCTAAGAAAAATAATTTCTTAAAAAAGAAAAATAAAGAGCGAATTACTTTAAATGTCCAATTTACTTTTTTCAAACCAAGTGTGTTTGAATATCGACCTTTGGAATTGGCATCTGACATGCCTATTATTTAGTTTTGTAGATTTGTAACACCT